AATATTAATATGCTTTTCATTTTTGGTGGAATTCAAAGAAAAAATGGGGTTTTTAAATTCTTTTAGAGAAAAGAATTCTCTTATTAGTTCTTTGAAAGTCACATATAATGTGATTTGATCATATTCACGCAGTCTCATTCTTCTGTCCCCTCTTCTCTACTCAATCAACTTGTGTCCTACATTCTTTAAACACTTCAAGACCAAATTATGATGCTCAAAATGATTTTTAGATGTATGGTTTTTCCACTGGAGCACGATTGACTTATCAAGGTCAGAACTCTTAGAGAAAGCTAACTCACATTTTCCCAGAATCTAGCATTTACCAACCTTTCATAATTAGGTGTGGGATTGTGTGCCCTACTCCTCTCTCCATGCTGTGATTATATCTCATTGGGCTTTCACAAGTTTAGTGAATTATAGCACAGTTTTTGTGAGTTCATATATGTCATTGCCTGACATGTCCATAACATGATTCTTGGTAGTCATTCATCTCCTCTGGTTCATCTACTTTTCTGCTTTTTTACAATGATCCCTGAACCTTGGGAATGGGGAGTATGATATATATATATACATATATATATGTATGTATATGACACTTTATATGTGTGTATGTAACACACACACACATACACACACACCTCTTTAAATCTGAGCAGTCTCCAGTTTCTAAGGTACTTTGTACCTTAGCCAGCTTTTGGTTCTCTCTGTGAATATACTGAAAATAGAAACTTCTCAAATGAGTATTGATATAATGATAAGTAATATAGAGTTTGTTTAAAACTATGCCCATTTAGCAACATACTAGTAATTTGTTCTTCCCTAGTGCCTATGATCTATTTAACTATAGGTTCTTAGCCAGATAATGGTGGCAAACAGGGCTTTCATCTTGTTGAGTGGTGATTACATTCAGGAATAACATGGTTGGTTACTGCATTGTTTGTGCCACTATTATGCCTTGGGCATGTCTAACAAGGAAAGTTAGTGCGTAGTTCTCAGGTGGTGTAATTGGTGGTTACTATTCTTTTCTTGTAGATTACATAGCATTGCATACATTACATGTCTATACCAGCTTAACTGTATCATATTCTATGAATAAAATATGTGGTGTCTTCAGTAACAGGGTCCAGAAAGAGTTTCATAATTTTACATAAAGTGCTTCATTTGGTGACCCAACAAAGACTCTAAAAAAGCCTTGTTACAAAGTCAGTGTCTGAACTTGGATCTTAGAAGAATTCTTATCACTCAAGACTTGGTAAGTATCTCTTTCTTGAGCTTTCCCTGTTTGTATGAAGAATGCAGTGCATTCTAAATTCTCATTTTCCTTATATGAATCTGGAATTTTAGTACACATTGAAAAAGGTTACCTACATGACCAAACCTCAGGTGCTGCCATCCATGAGCTTTCATAATTTGGCAATATTTTACATTTCTTGTTAGGGGAGTTAAATGTGTCCCATGTAACTGGAGTGAAGTGATCATGGCAGCTGTGGGTTCTTCATGGACTTTTTCTTATGTGTACTTTTTCTCTTTGCAGATTATGCCTGAAATTCTCGAAGTCATAGCTGAGTACTATGAGACTCCCCAGAAAGTTCCTGATTCTTGGTATGATATCAAGGACCCCCAACACTTTCATTTAACTTCTTTTATTGTTTCAGAACTATTCAGCATTCTTATTTCTTCTTAAATGAGTTTCACTACTTCAAAGAGCTTGTTTATTTCATTACCATTGGCTAATTCATTGACATGTATTATTCATATATGCCCTTATGATTCTTTTATTTTGATAAAATCTGTAGTAATATCCAAACTTTTATTCATCTTCAGCAATTTGACTCTTTTGTATTTTTTCTTCATCAGTCTACTTTCAAGTTTCTTAACATTTTCAAGGAGCCCACTTACAGCTTTATTGACTTTTCTTTCTTGTTTTTCTAATTATATTCCACTAATCAATAATAAAATTATTATTTTATACTTTATATTTGCTTCAGCCTTAATTTACTCTGGTTTTTTAGTATGATAAGTTAGAAACTTAGGTTACAAGTTTAGGAACTTTCACCGTTTTAAAAATGGTGCTGGGGAATGAACTCAGGGTACTGCACATGTTAGGAAAGGGCTCTTAGCTACACCACTCTATTGTTTTTCCTGGGATAGGCTATTGTTATGTAGCTCATAGTAGCCTGGAAGTTTCCACATCTCTGCTTCTGCCTTCAAATGACATGATTACAAGAGTGCTCCATCACATTCTGCTTCTTCTGATGTATGCATCTGCAGGAGTACTCCATCACCCACTAGTTCTTCTGGTGTATGTATCTTCAGTTTAGGCGTCTATAGTCATCAATTTTTTCCTCACCAATACCTTCATTGCATCCATAAGTTGGAGTAATTCATGACTTAATTGATTCCAAAAGTTCTCTAATATCCTTTATGAAAAATTGTTGGATCCACTATTTATTTAAGAGAAAATAATTTAATTTGTATCTCTCAATCTTTCAGATTTTTCAAATTTATTTCTAATATGATTATCTGATTTCATGCTTTTGGGACCAGAAAACATACCTTATAAGATCTCAGATATTTAAATTTATGGAAGTCTTTTCTTTGAAAATCTCATTAATAGTTTATTTTGGAAAATTTTTCAATTGTTCTGGATAGAATTGTATATGTTGATATCACTAAGCAGGTTGTATATTTGTTAATTTGTTTAGTTTAAAACACTCTTAAGGTATTTTGTTTGTTAATCTGCTTTGATAGTGTCTCAATATCTCAAAATAGAATTGAGATATTCTCAACTCTTATTAGTCAATAAATGTATCCCTTTAGTTTTGTTAGCTTTTGTTTTGTGTATTTTTAGGCTCTATTTTAGGAATGGATAAACTTACAGTCTCTGACAATTGTCTTGGCACTGAGTGAAACATCCTATTCACTCTTAAGAACAGCTTTGCTTTAAAGATTACTATTTCAAATTTCTTACTGGTGTTGTCTGATGTTCTCCTTCATTCAATTCATGGGTACACTGCATTTTAAAGTAAGTCACCTCTACACCACAGGAATTGCAATAATTTTTTCCCATTAACTTTCTTTTCCTTTTGAGATAGGGTTTCTCTGTGTCACCTTGGCTGTTGTGGAATTTACTCGGTAGACCAGGCTGGCCTTGAACTCAGAGACCCCCCCTGCCTCTGCCTTCCAACTAACCTCCTGGCTAACCCACTCACTTTTAGAATGTTAAGAGATTTGTTTTTCAGCTATGAGTTTTCTTATGTACTTTGTGTATTTTTCACTTTTGTTCCTTTATTGTCTTTCTCTTGCTTTAGTGATTATTTGCTAATGTAAGTTTTTTCTTTCTTTCTTCATTTGAATTACATAATTGTTACCAGTTCTTCTTCATATTAATTGATTCTTTGCCAGTGTAGGTCTATTGATGAGCCTTTGAGGAAATATTCTTCATTTTTTACTGTGATGACTGGCGGTAATTGCCAGTTACAGAGTCCAGAAAGACCTGGGAGACAGAGGAAATTATCTTGATTGTCTTAATTGAAATGGTAAGTCCAGTCAAGGTTGGTGGGTAATATTCCCTGGCTGAGATCATGAACTGTATAAATAGAGAAAGAGACTTTGTCACACTTTGTTTCCTGATTGTAAAGTGATGTCACAGCTGCTTCAAGCTCCTTCTGCCTTGACTTCTGCCAACATCAAAGACCATACCCTTGACATGTAAGCTGAAAGACATGATTTCTTTTTTAAGTTGGTTTGCTATTGTATTCCATCATAGTACCAAAAGAATAAACAGACATTATTGGTTAAGTTCATTAGGTCCTTTGAATGTTTCTTTCTTTTTCTTGACATCATTTGATGAGATATTGCCATTATACAATCTTGCAGTTCTTTAAGCAAGGCTAACTGCATGTCATTGAACGTAGTTATAGTCTATTAAGCTTTGGATACCTGAAGCTCATCTATCTACAATTTAAATATTTGGCATTTAAGATTGTTTAGAAGTTTGATTGTATGGCTTTGGATTGAAAGAAAATTTTGGAAAAGTCCCTTCTTTTTTTCATCGATATTTTTGTTTGATACAAGGCTAATGTGCATGCCCTTCAAGAACAATGTGCAGTCTATGAAGAGTTTTTTTTTTGTACTAACTCCATTAAAAATGTCTATCAGGAGCATGAAAAATACTGGTTTTAGATGAGTAACTGGGGGACCTAAAATGATTATGGAGAAATGGGACAGGTGATAAAATATAGCTACAATGCTAGGAGATAAGTTTTGAGTTGCCAGTATAAAGAAGATAATTAGAGTCTGTAAATGTATACATTCTATGATGATAAATGTAGCAGAAAGTCAGAAAACATGTATGAAAGGGAATTGCTAAATTAGAAGGTAGGGAGAAGAAACAGCCCAATTACTGAGTGATCCAGGGAATTTTAGCTGACCATCATAGTACCTGAACATGAGGAGATAGGCTGTGCTAAGTGAGAGGAGGATTTTTGGTGTTGATATTCTTTCTTTCTTCCTTCCTTCCTTCCTTCCTTCCTTCCTTCCTTCCTTCCTTTCTTTCTTTCTTTTTGGCTTTTTGAGACAGAGTTTCTCTGTATCATTTTGGAGGCTGTCCTGAAATTTGCTCTGTAGAACAGGCTCACCTCTAACTCACAGAGATCTGCCTGCCTCTGCCTCCTGAGTGCTGGGATTAAAGGTGTGTGCCACCAGTGTCCGGCCAGTGATATTATGTTATTTTAACTGACAACATTATTGACTATTTGGGAGTTTCACATTATGGATTCCAATGCCATTTACCTCTCAGTAACACCTATCAATACTCCCTGCAACCCTGCCTCGCCCTCCCCAGAAGGCAACAAATCAAATTAAGCAAGCAAGGGAAAAAAAAGCCAGAAAACAAAACAAACAAACCAAAGAAAAGAAAACAAAACCAAACCCCATCTAAGAAACTCAAAACAAAAAACAAAACAACAGGAGAAACCTCTTTGCTTCTCCTTATTTCCTGCTTTTCCAATACATTTTATTCATCCTGTTGTCAGTGGAAGCTTCAGTGTACCATGAAGTATTCCTCTTTGCCCCATCAGTTTTACTAGCAAATGTCCATTGCAATGTGTCACTGGTCTGTTTCAAGGGCTCTGGTTTCTGGCACACCATCATCTCTGTATCCTCACTGGACCTACAAAGGAGAATTTGTTGGTGATCAAGATGAAGGAAGTCAATGGCATTAGACAAATAAGGTCATTGAATTGTGTAAAGACTGTAATAAATAATAATAAATCAAATTTTAGTTGAGGTGTCAAGGATAGCTGGTATGAGCACTGTCTTTGGCTGTAGACAGAATGGAGTGGTTTCAAAGAGGAAGTTTTGGGGATTTGGGAAGTCTAAATATATTAAAGGAAATTAAATTAAAGGAAAATGACAATAAAAATGAAAACATGTATCATAGTGATCAGACTTTTTTTAGAAAAAGGACCTTATCCCAAACAAAGTTTCACTCAGATTACGTCTCCTGTGTATATCAAAAGAGGGTTTTTGGTTAAAGAGGATGTTATGAACCAGTGACCAGGTATCTTAAGGCATGCCTCCCAAATTTCCTATGTGGAAAACACAGGACAGTTTTTCAGGGGCTAACATTGAGCTAGCATTGTGATTGCTTTCAAGCATTATGGAGGCCCCTCTTAGAAATTTCTCTGACAAACCAGTAACTGACTCTGGCTTGATTCTGCAATCATAGAGAGTTAGCGGTCAGTGCACATGTGCTGTGTAGACCTGGAAAGTTCTTGATGACAAGGGCTGCAGTGGAGCCCTTGCCCATAGAGCAAGTGTGGTGTTTCCCTCCAGGCCATCTGCTCCTCCTCCGCCTATGTCTCCAGGCAGCCTTAAGTCTGAATATAAACTTCAAGAAAAAGAATTACTTAAACTTCATCTAACAATTTTCTTTCCCAGATCTTTCCCCTCACCTCTTGATGCTGCAGGGTTCATAGTCTTACATTCCAATGCTTACTGGTTAGGCACTTTTTATATGACCTGAAGAGTATATAATATGAATACCTTTGGCAATGACGATTAAGATAAATTCAAATTTTTGAAGAAATACCAACAGATAGTGATGATAGTGGCCTTGAATGCCTGTGTTTACTTATAAACCTGTATTAGTTCATTCAGAGTTCTATTTTAGGAGGAATTTTCATATAATCTTAAATGGTATTCCTGGGTGGTTAGAATAAAGGTTCCTAATGGAGGAGGACAATAGTAATAGTTTGTGATTAAGACTAACTGATGTGGATTTAGTGTTAGTCAGTGATTATTTTTACTATTATTACACTACATAATAAAGCAAGACTTTCTCCTGTAGTGTGGTAGTGGTGTGGACATAATTATATTTGTTATGAGAGAAGTGAAAGAAAGCTTATCAGCTATGAAAAATTAAAAAAGGGATATTATAACAATGCAAGATTATAAACCTTTGCAGATTATTTAAAGTTGAGATGTTAAAATTGTTGTAAGAGCCGATTCATTAAAAAGCAAAAGTCCTTCTGGTGGGAAATTTCCCATGTCAGTACTGACACAGAACTGACAGGATGATTTTTTTAAATGAAAAACAAACCAATTCTGAGTTTTTAGTAGAGTATGGAGCTAGTGTAGTGTCACTGAAATCTTTTTTTTTTGGTTAAAATAGTCTTCAGAGTTTTAGTCTAGACAATAGAAGTTGCCTTTCATTTGTTAACAGTTCAATATATGCAATTTTAATTTCTTTTTGAAAGCAGTCCTATGCTTATCATTTCAAAATTGAAAATAACTTTAAAAATAGCATTACTTAAAGTAAAGGAGTAAGATCTGGGATTAAAGAAGATCCAGCTGCCTGTTTGCATCATCCATACACAACTGTTTAAGCAAACAGGATTCTAGGGAACCATATTGCAGAAGCTCTGGGACATTTGCAAGTGAGTGAAAAGACTGATAACTTGGAAACAATGTATTTGCTTCCCTTGTAGATGGAATACATATCTTCTTTTAAAACAGAGCCCTCACTGCTGTATGATTGATTACTTTAGAGTATTCCTTTCAGAAGATTTATATGACAATACAGGACAGGGATTGTGTGTCTTGCACAGTGTGGCATTTCAAAGGCAGCTATAACACATGCAGCATGTGGCTTTCCTTTGAAGAAAGCAATAATATGGCTAGCAGAAGGTTGCTGAAAATGTTGGGTGTGAATATTACTATCTATTTACATGAGTGAGTCTAAAATGACCTGAGGAAAATTTCTTTCCATAGTAACATATTTCTACTTCAAACATCTTTAGTTAACAAACTCACCTTGTTGGTGCATCCTCTGTGTGTGACCTTATAAACAGTAGAGATTTACAGACCTATTGTCATATTTCAGAGGTCAAGTATTCAGGAAATAACTCCAATATCTTGCAGATGCTGGGAATGCCTCACTTTTCAATATGCATATGAACTGGCTATATTTAAAAAAAAAGATGTATAACCATCAAAATAAATAATAGCCCTGTATGAAAATTATCACTATGTCATGTTTTACACTACTTACATGGTAAAAGTCTTTGCATAACATGCTTAAACAAGGATATGTTGTTCCTCAATTTCTTAAATGAAATGACCCATTAATCATGCATTAAGAAATGTATGCATATTTCGTTATACACTGTTGGTGTGAATTACAGATGATTCCATATTTAATATAGAAACAAAGAAAATGGCCTCAATCTTGTAGTTGAGTAATAGTATTCATGTGTGTGCATATTCCATATGCACATGCAAAAGTACATACATATTTAAGTACATATGCATCTATAACTAGAATGATCTGTTATAATGAATACTTTTCATATGCCATTTACCTTTTATCCTGATAAATTATCTAGCTTCAAGTTGTCAGTCCTAAACATGTATGAATATGAACAATACTAAATGGAATCATATATGTGCAATATAGTAAAATACACATAATAATAAAAAAGTAGAAGAGGTCTTGAGTTTGAGAAGAGTTGGGAGAAGACTGGAGAAGTTAGAGTGGGAAAAGAAAATAGTAGAAATGAGAAAATACAGGACTCATTATGAAATTATCAAAAAAAGAGTTGAAACAATTCCTACTCTCTATTTTCATGTATTTTTAAAATTCAATGAAACAGTGCCTACGTCATGTTTATATTTGAAGGATTTAAACGTATTAATCCAAATATCAACAATCCTTCCAGTACAAGTGCTTATTAAAATGGACTGGTATAAACTGAAGAAAGGCCATTCTTTGGGGATTCTTACATATGTTAAGCAACTAATAATTTGTTAAATAATGGATGCATATAGTAAATTCAATGCTAAAATATCTTGCTCTATATTCCCTACCAGTTACCTTTGGTATAGATGCCATCGTCTAAAAAAGAATGCTGTTTTAATAATATAAATTTTATCACGTAAAATATAGCATGTCAGCAATCTATTTCTTCCCAGTATCATTTGTCATTCTGCACTAGTTATGTCATGGTACATGAAACCACATACCAGAACTTGAGCTTACAAATTTAGGTTCAAGGTTTGATGTTTTGAATAAGTAAAGCCTCCATAGATTCCTTTATTTGCATGCTTGACCTAGAGTGAGTGGCACTACTTGGAGGTGTGGTCTTGTTGGAGAAGTGTATGACTGTTTTTTGAAGTTTCATATATACTCAAGCCACACGTTTTGTACAACACAGTTCACTTCTTGTTGCCTGTGGATCAAGATATGGAACTCTCAGTTCCTTATCCAGTACCATGTCTGCTTGCATGCCTTCATGTGCCCTGCACAGCAATAATGGACCAAATCTCTGAAACTGTAAGCCATCACAATTAAATTATTTTAATAAAAGATGCCTTAGTCATGGTGTCTCTTCACAGCAATAGAAACTCTAAGACACACATACACATGGATGCTATCACACTTATCTCTGTTCAAAGTCACTGCTTACCCTAGTTACAAAATTTTCATTTATCATCATTAGCTTAGAACTCTGAAACAATAGTTTATTGGAAGAAGGAAATCAAACACAAATGAAACCTCACTCCAGAGAACGAAATATCACAGTGGAAGGAAGATCAACTTAGACTCCTGTTTCTGTCAGAGAATTCCTACATAACTGTTTAAGAGCCCTGTGAGGGACACCTCGGGTTGGCTACTTACCTACTTATCTCCAGGGGTTTTCAGTCAGGGAGGTACTGGGATGAGAGCTGTAATGTTAGAAAATCTGTGTCAGTGTCTAGCAACTTTAGGGCAATGCTAACCTGCTTCCCCATTCCCGTTTCAATATTTGATGCTTGTAGCTGTCATATCTGCAAGATTTAGGATGATTTTTCTAGATTTGCAATGGTTCTTGTTATTGATGGCTGATTTTTAATGAAGTTTCTGACTCTTCATGAGTCATCTCAGTCCCAAATGAGCAGAGTCATATGGATAAAGACAATGTGAGGGCTCTGTTCATTCTATCCAGATCTCTGGTATAAACCAAAGCTTATTTCTAAGAAATGCAGGGCTGAAAGGAGGCTTATTAAACTAGATCATAGGCCAGGGAAGAAAGGATTGCAATTGCTGTTCTCAACAGTAAAGGTAGATAGCACATGATTTAAAGTCATATGGCTTCTCACCCCATCTTAGGAAACTGTGGGAAACCATGCTTGGAAGACTACTAGGGAAGACTGTGTCTTGGCAAGGCATCAGATAAATCAATGGAATAGCTTTGTTGGGTACCTGTTATGATACCTTGCTCTCAGTTTTTCTTTATAGTGGCAAAGTAAAGAAAGATCTGCAAACAACCCTACACTTGTGGATCAGTTTAGTGTTTTGTTTGCAACAATGCAGAAAGGAATATTTGTCTGTTTGGAACAATTTTTTTCTGTTTAGTATCATATATTGGGAAATGGACACAAACACTTGACTAAGAATAAGATATCTACATCCCGGCATTCTGAAACTGTTCCTGGTAGATAAACATCTGTAAAAGGTGGTGGGAAATATTAAAGAGGGGAAAGACAAATAATTATAGAGATGGATAGTAATATAATCCCAAAAGGACTTGGAGATGATTGGAATGTTCTTTTATATATATGTTTCTCTTATTGTTTGATGAATAAAACACTGATTGGCCAGTAGAGGCAGGAAGATACATGGGAATAGGAGACAAGGAGAATGTTGGGGAGAGAGAAGAGACAGACCTCAAAGAGACACCATGTGGAGACTTGGAAGACAGAATGTGCAAGGCGTTCTCTGGTAAGTTAAGGCCATGTAGAAATAGATTAGTAATTATGGGCTAATAACTAAGAGAGAGCTTGGCAGTAAGAAGCCCTTGCCATCAGGCATCAGTTTAATAGTTAATATGTCACAGTGTGCTTATTTGGGGCTGAAGTGGGGCAGAAACTGGTGGATCAGAAACTTTCACTCATGTAGAGAGTTCCCTTTAAGTAAGTATTGGGACATCAGTTTGTCCTTTGGCACACAGGATGGAATGAATAAGAAAGGTAATATAAAGTAGAGAAATGGCATATTTAAGTTATCTTTCTTGGGTCAGAGTAACATTTTTCACATGAAATATGTTAAACAAGATGAAAATGAGCTAGTCACATACATTCACATACAATCTTGTCTAAAGCAATGCTGTACTGGATCTTGCTTGAATAGTAAGTTGTGTGAATAAAGTTGTGAGACTATCTTTCTATGTATTTCTATATATTTAATTTTTGTACATTATTTTTACAATATATTATCATTTATTTGATTTTAGGTAGATGACTATATAAACTTTTCAAAGTTTTTGACTTATGAGTAATACTCAAATAGCATTTTGTCATTTATTATTTTGTTTTTTTAATTTGAATTAGACTATAGAATTTCTATTTAAGTAATCGTGTCTGTGTTTTCTTTTATAATATAGAAAAACTCCCAAGACTCAGATTATAAAGATTTTAAACATTGCTTTGTATTAGTAATTTTGTGGATTTCTTTTTTACAAAGGGGCTATGCCTGCTGTTGCTATTATTATTGATATTATGATTATGATATTTTAAAGTGGAAAGTTACTCTGTAAAGATCTAGTTTTTGTTTCCTTGAATGGCTAGACAATTGTTTCAATACTATGACCAAATGATTAACCAGGAATTTGAATATTTTCTCATTTCATTCAATTTACTTTTGTATTCACTATTATTTATATCCATTCTGTTTGCAATTGTTTTCATAGCATTATACTTTAAAAATTACTTAATGTGTTTTAAATAACATCCACTAAGGATTTGGGAAATAGGGCATTCCCCAGTAAAAATATGATAAGAAGTATTGGTTGTGTGCCTTATGAAACTTGATCAATATCCTAGAAAAGTCAGTGGAAACAATAGGAGCAGAGAATATGAAGAATTATAAAGATAAATGATAGTGAACCATTTGAGCATTCAGACAAGTTCCTAGGTTCTTCTAGTGCTAGAATTTATAGGTGGTATTTCAGAAGGGAAGATAGAATTTGGACTGAAGGCCTATGTAGCTAAGTTTATTTGTAGAAGTACCCAGGATCAGAGCAGTGATGACCTGAGAAAAGAAGTAAGTGTAGCCAAAGCCTTTAAAATTTGATGATATCTAAAAGCTCATTAATTCAAACTGACAGTACAATCTCTTTGTAGGTAATGTGGTCTGTACTGAAGACCAGAAGTTCATGTGCTTCGTATGGTATGTAGGGCATGAATATTGTCACTTTCTTGGCAATGTCTATTTTCATATAAGAAAATCATCAGAAAGACAATAAACAATCATTTCAAATGAAGAAATAACTAGTTTATGGATGAAGAAATTGTAAAATTATTTTGCTCTAATGAGGCAGGAAAGAGTTTAGATAAAGAGAACAAACTGCAATTCTAAATAATAAAAGCTTATTAGAATTCAGGTTGTGAGGGACTGTGCTTAGACAAAGATTAGCAAGTGTTTCAGGGTGAAAGAAAAAGTGCATGTTGTCTAAAATCTGGTGTGCAACCACGAGGCGACAGGAGGGGAATGAAAAAAGTGCCGATAAATATTTGAAAGGAGTTCTCCAAGTTCAATTAAATGCTTAGGCAAGTCCCCAAATTAAATGAGATGCCAAGAAATAGTTGGCAAACAGACTGTAATAATTAAGTGCTACAGGCCTCGGAAGGAGGCTGAGCCTCACCACATTGTGCCTTCTCTTCATGGCCCTGTTTTTCGGTCTGTAATGGGAAAATCAGCACATGAAATAGAGAGATCACGGTCCAAAATGGCACAAAAGATAACTGAAACACAGCCATGGCAAGAGTTGGAATTGAAGGGCAGCTCTATGCTGTCCAAAGGGAATTTATACTCTTGGATAAATGTTGTGCCAGGCTCCTGGGGTCCAGTATGAATGAGCAAAGATGTGGTCTCCATAGAAAGAGAAGCGTGGTGTAAGTTAATCCTCTATGCACCCTCCAAATAAAGATACACATGGATTTTAGCTTGGGTGATCCCTCGAGTGTCAAGATTCCAGCACAATGTAGTCAGTAAACCCAAGTCATGCAAGTATACCAGGTAGACAGGTACAGATACTCTCAGATTATCATGTGATTCCAGAATCGAGATATACCTAGGATATTCCCCCAGGTACCTTCAATAATTCAACATGCATAAACTGTGCAAACAAAATGTTCATCATCTGTACCCTTATTTTGATGTGGTTATTGTAAAGTTCTATAAATTAATAGAGATGAACTTACCTACAAATAACTTGTTTTGGCATCCATATTATTGCATTTGAATAGTGAAGGGACTGTTGTAGTTTAAATGGTGAAATACTGCAAATGGCACAGAGAAGTAACTTGGGGGTTCTTATTCTGACTCCATAGGTGATGGAGAAGAATAAAGCACTGTTGGCCAATAGGGAATCAAGATAGGTGGGACTAGGAGTCAAGGAGAACTCTGGGAAGGAGAAACACAGGGAGTCATGATGTAGCTGCCATAGGGGTAAGAAGTCCGGACCCTTTCTCTGGTAAGAGAAATACTTAGATTATCAATTATGGAGAAAATTCTTAAGTCAGAGATAGCCAGTAAGAAATCAAGCAAATGGCCAACAGCTTCATAATTAATACAGTGTCTTGTGTATTATTTGGGGACTACAACACGGCAGAGCCCAGGCGACTGGTAGGGAAAAATTGAAGTGGCTGGCAAGGAAAAGGCTTCACTCAACATATAGGAGGCCTATTTAATAACTACATGTCCAGTGGAAAGCATTAGCTTTGCTGTGCATTAAAAAAAACAATGCCAAGAGAAAATTGTATGGCTGGGAAATTTTCTATTGTTCCCAAGAACATGCTATAAGGATACAAGAATATTTGGTGCAAGAAAGTGGAGTTGTGGGGGGTCTCGTTCCATGTGGAGACTGAGAAATTATAGTTTACTCATTATTAAAAACATGTTGAGGGTCTAAAGAGGCTCATGGCATCATGGTTATAGAACGGGAATTTTTTTTTTCATTTTCGCTGCGTCCTTTTCATTAAGGTGATCAGAGGGATCTGCTTCTGATTGTGGAAAATTCTCAAATGACCTATCCTGAGCGTCCCGTAGATCTTGGAGCTGAGCTCAAGGCCCTGAACTGATTTGTGTCTCTTTGCACTGATCCTAACTTTATTATTGTAAGATTTCTACTACTACAGACTTGTGGTCACTGGATTACAATCCTCCAATAAAGTAGTCTGGGCTATGCCAATTATGAGAATTGTGACATGACAATCCTTGATCATTCGTAGAGCCTTCAAATAAACTACAATGCTTCAGCTTATAGCTACAAATATCTTTTTTGAATAATAAAAATGTGAAGAAAATTTGTATTTTTGAAAAACCAAAAGCCAGGAAAATATATGGGGATATTTATGTAAAAATTAGTTTAAATGTCATTATGTAACTACTTTCTCTAACCAAAGAAGTCTTCTGTACAATGGGGATAACGTCTGTATTTATTTTGCTTCTGAGGAGTGAGGATATATAAGTTTTAATGGAATTAGAAAAGCATGAAAGAGATACAGAGTATTTCCAATAAAGAAAAAACCCTGGGAGCAAATGTAAAGTCTGTTGTAATTTGTCTGTGAACTAAAAGTATTTACATATATTCTCAACTGAAATCACATCATAAACATATATTAATACAGTTTTTCAAGAGAAACAAATAATAGATCCTTAAATTTCACTAATAGAGATTAAAAATAGATATTTAAACATACTCTGTCTTTATATTTTTTTCTAATTTTAACTT